TCTTGTGGTTGCTCATGGTGGGACCTGTGCTCTGCAGGAACCTGCATAAATCAAGGGAAAGCTGTATATTCTGTGGGGCGTGAACTGGCTCTACCCCCTTGTTAGGGCTTTTATCAGACACAGGCAGCAACCCCAGCAATCACTCCACTAGCAGCACTCCCAGCTGCTCAGAGCATGTGGCCAAACACATAGTACGCAAAACAAACGCTCGGCAAGCCAAACACATAGGCAGCCCTGGCTCACTCACTCACCTTCCCAGAGCAATGCCTCCTGTTGCCTGGCTCCTTTTGCTCTTCCTCCTCTCACTCCCACCAAACTACAAAACAGTCTCAGAAACTAGCACACACCCAGGACCTCCCTTATTAGGAGAGGAGAAAAAACCCAGGCAGAATATCCATGTCAAACAGTCAACATACTATAGAATTCATGGGCAGGTGAAGAGGGGAGGGAGGGGTCAGATTATTTTGTAACTTGATCTGACACTTTAGGGGTTAAGTTACTTAATGTGATACAAGCTGGAAGTCATTTGAGGAAGAGATGCCCCAGAACAGAGCTCCCTCCGTCCCTGCCCTGACCCACCCCCCCACAAAGTGTTCCTATTAATTTTAGTTTACAAAGTGCTCTTCAAACCACATGGATAATGGAAATTGCCTTGTAAATTGGTATGCCATACCAGGAGCTGAGGGCTTACGGGATAAATTAGAAGTTACCGTGCAAAAAAACTTGGGGGGTTTCCATGTACATGGTCAGTGGGTATGAGCATGAGAAGAGTCCTGAGGAAAGCCCTGTGTTGCAATCTAGACATGTGGACTGTGTGTCACTTTGCATGATTGCTAATACAGAAATTAGTTAGTTGATTAATCAAGGGGTTGGAGGTTCTGAGGTTTTTCTTTGGCACTTTTTGCTGATGTTTGGATTTTGGTATGGGGTGATAGGGTGAGATTGCTTTGAAGCATATGCATCTTGATGCTGTCAGACACAAATGTTGGCTGTCATATACTACAACTTCATCAAGCCATAAAAAGCAACAGAAACCAATGAGCTCAAACAGAAACAGGACAAGCAGCACAACATGTGCTTCAGCAGAGGCTTCAGCAGCAGGGGAGCTTTGACAGTGTTTGATGAAGGGAGGGGCTTCAACCCTGCCAGGGTGGAAAAAAGTAGCAGCTGCTGAGTCCTAGCACCAGCCCACCTCAGATCCAAGGCAGGTCATTCCAGCCCCCTGTTGGAAAACATTGCCAACTTGGCATAGTTAGCCCGTGCAGTGCCTAGAGTCCTGCAAAGACTTTCACAGTAAAAATGCCATTCTTGGAAATAAAAATATCCAAACATGGTGTTAAATGAGGGCTGAGAACTGGCTGCATGAAAGGAATTGGCCACATGATGGCAGTACATGCTTAGGAATGCCAGCTCCTGAGACACCTATTGGCAGAGAGCATCCCTCTACTGCCACCTTCCCCCCCCCCGGCCCTTCTGCTCCCCAAACCCTAGTGATTACCCCCCTTAGGGGGAAGGTGTTCAAATTAATTTTCCAGTGTAATGACACTGCTCTAACTCCCTGGGTGGATGCTCTGATTCAGAACAACAGAGGGCCTTTTGTTTTAAGCAGTTTTAACTTAAGTTACTTTGGAGAGTACTTCAGAGGAGGTCCGACCTTAAAACCTTTAACAAAGAAAGAAGTGTTGGGGATTTCTAATGATATTTTTGTACCTGAAAAAGCCCCAGGGTGGTCACCATTATACAAAAAAAAAAAAAAAAGAACAAAAGAAGAAAAGCAAGACTTTTGTTTGTGTAGCTGTTGCCATTTGGGAAACTGGTAGAAGTGAGAGAAGCTAAAAGGCTTTTTGCCAGTGTAAGCTGCCTCTTCACTAGGGAGATTTCCTAATATAGCTATATCGGCACAGGTTACCAGACTTCCTCACTACTGCAGACTAGGCCTCAAAGGAAAAAGGAAACAAATACACAACCTAGGGTTAAAATATAATGGGAGTCAAGATTGCAGGGCACCAGCAGAGCCACCAGGAACCTAGTGCTGGGATAGCAGCAGACATGTGTCAGGACTGAGGCAGGGGTGGAGCCTGAGGCTGGGGTAGATTGGATCACATGCAGCAAAAGGAGACTTCCTGGAACAACTTAGCCAGGCTCTCAGCTGCCTTTCCCAAGGTCAGAATGTTATTGTTCTGCCTCAACCCCATTAATTGTCCCCTCTGCCAAAAACAATCCCACCTGGTTCACCTGTGTGCCAGGTGCATAAGGCACAGAGTTCAGGGGTGGGGAAGGAGGAGCTGTAGGGGAGGGAGCGAGCTTTATTCTTGTTATAGGACTGAGACACTACAGCAGCCCTCAGAAGGCATGAGCCGAGCTGCCTAGAGTCTAGGCTCTGGAGGGGTCACATTGCACAACCAGAAGCAGGTAGATAGACCCCAGCTGGCAGCAAAGGGCCCATCAGCCCCTCCGCTTATGCTATGATGTGACCTCTGAGGAGCTGGTTGGGGTACAGAGGATGTCTGCCAGGCTGTTTCACCTGGCACAATCTCCCCACTGTGCCAGAAGGGCACAAAGTTTATTTAGGGCTAATAGGAGTGCCCTCCACCTGCTCCAAAATCCTCTGGACATGGACCAAGATGGCCAAAACCAGGACCAACTCAGAAGTGAGAAGGGCATCAGATCACATGTTAGCTACCTCCAGATACACCCTGATGTATCATAGCAACCCCAAGGAAAAACACCTCAAAAAAGCTACATCAAACATGCCTGCTGCCCTGGGCCTGTGCCTGGCAATGGGGTTCCTGCACACAGCACCTAGTACATGGTCAGTGGCCACATCTTCTGCTATCTGGGCCTCCCACAGAAACACACTCCCAGCCATTCTCAGGGAGAGTCTGGTGCAGCTGCCAGCATGAAAGGAGTATCTGTAGGAAGAGACACAGATGTGGCAGAGGACTGCCTGTGTGTGCCTTTCCCCTGATAACCCATGACATGGAAACACCAACCTCAGTGCCCATGGGATTCCTCTTGGGACCACAGAGTTGGGGTGATAGAGCCACAATCAGGGGGGCTGGTCCCTGCCCCCAGTCCATCAGCAGTTAACTTAGCAGTTGACTGACCCATGAGCCATGGCTGAGCCACCCCCAGGCACCATGGCATGAGATCTGGAGGCAGAGGGACAGTAGCACCAAGTCTCCTAGTCAAACCCCTGGGATCCAGGAATGAGACTGGCTCCCAGTGGTGTTTGGATGCTGCATGGCCAAGATTAGACTTTATGAGAAGGGCCTGGGGGGCATGATGCCAACTGCAATCCTGATAAGCCCAGGCAAAGGCTGTGACTCAGCTTAGAAACTTTCCTGGCACTGTGGACTTTGGATGCCCCTGCCACTCCTTGCTAACTTCAAGGAAACCATGAAGATAATGGCACAGTTCCTAGTAGCTAGGGCAGGTGTGACCATCCTCTGATCAGACACATGGATCAAACCCTGGGCTTCTGTGCAGCAGCTTCCACAGCTTGCATGTAGGAACAGTTCCACCCACTGGGGACCAGGAGAGTCAAAATCTGCTGTATATGATCTAGCCACTAGAGGAAGACAGCAGTCCACCCTAGACTTGCATGCTAGTCATCTGGGCCTCTATATGTCTTACACATGGTGCACAGCTCAGCCCAAGCCAGTATCTGGACTCTTACTGCATTTCTTGGGGAGAGTTACAGCTCCAGAGATCCAGCTGATGTCCATGTAGCACTTCTCCCAGGAGTGGTGAGCAGCCCAAGAGCCATAGCTATGAGCCCCACTTAAAACTGACAGACACTTTACCTTCCCCAACCCCATGCACTTCCTCACTTGCCAGCACAATGTCCCGGGAGAATTTCAGGAAGGGGAGGTAAGTATAGAATCAAGCTGGGGAAACACAGCCCTAAGAAAGCAATGTGTGTGCACACACATATACACACGCACACACATGCACACATATATCCATGGCATCTCTAGCAGAAATAATTCTGTCTCCCAGTATTTAAGTTCTTTCCTCAGGGCAGCACACTCACAGTTCGCTGTCCAGGGTAAGCAGAGTCCCTAGGGGAAGTAGTGACAGGTCTAGACTTGATGTTCCACCACCCCTGCAGCTTAAAGCAACAGAGGTGGGTGCACAAGAGAAAGCTGTGCAAGTGTGTATGTGCATGTTCACATATGTGAGCAGTGTGCATGGGTTGTGTGCATGTGTGCAAGTAGCATGAGTAAATGTGTGCAAGTAGCATGCATACCCATGTGACTAGTGCATATATGTGCAGCTGTAAGTAGAGTGCATGGGCACATGAATGTGTGTGCAAGTGTACTTTAGCAGCCCACTAGTACATATGAGCAGCATGAATGCATGTGCACTCGTAAGAGTGTGCCTGGGCATGTGTATATGTGTGCAATAAAAGTATGTGTGAGCAATATAATACTGTGTGCACACATGTAAGTAATGTGCATAAGTGTTTGAGAGCACATGAGAATGGAAGTGCATGTGAGCAGTGAAGACGTGCGTACTTGTATGTCAGTAGACTGAATGGTGCATGTATGCATGTGCAACATGAGTGCATGTGACCACCGTGAGGTGCACGTGAGTGTGCACACACATGAGCAGTATGTAATGCTTGTGAGTGCTGACACATGTAAGCACTGTGAAAATGGCTATGAGATCAGTATGCATGTGTTACTATGTATAATGCATAAGTGCACATGCCAGTGCAAGCATGTGTGCGTGCCTGCATGAGTAGTGGGTGTGGGTGTGTGCATGCCAGCAGTATGTGTCACTACAGACACTCTCACTCTCTTCTTGTGCCAGCCTGTTCCGTCAGTCACATTCTTGGCCACACCTGTCCCCCACCTCCCCGCTCCCTCCCCACCCCTCCCCTACCATGGCAGGCCACGGTTAGGGCGGGGACCTCACTGACTCTGGGCGGCTCCCTCTTCCTGCACTGGGCGTGAAGCAGAAGCGGGTGCCTCGTGCTTTGTGACCCAGAGCTAAGAATCACTGGCACCTGGCAGAGAGGAGGCCTGGAGAAGGAGGTAGAGGGGATCTACCATACGGGGTGTGGTAGCCCACGTGTGAAGATCCTGCCCCCTCCACAACCCCGGCTCTGAGGATGGTTGCTGGGAGCAGGTTGTGATTCGGGACAGCTAAGTGACAGAGACGTGCAAAGCCACCCTGTCCTGGAGCTGGCCTCTGGAATACCAGGACATCAGAGATGCATCAAGCAGCCAGGGGGCACAGTCAGACAGCAGGGACCACAGAGGCTATGGGGGCTGAGATCAAAGCTGTCATCGTGGGGGACGGTGGCTGTGGAAAGACCTCCCTGCTCATGGTCTTCGCCAAGGGGGATTTCCCCAAGGTAAGGACCCCCCTGACATGCACCAGCAAAGATGAGACCCCTTCCCCTGCCTTTAGACTGCCTTTCGGTGGGATCCTGACCCTAAAACCCCATGCACACACCTTTTCTTTGAGACCCTCCCCTCCCAGACTGCTCCCTGTGGGCTTCCAGCATTGACCTAGAAAGACCCCACCCCTCACACTGCTCCTCTGGTGGGACCCTGAGTCTGCCCCAGAGAGATCTCCCTCCCCTCATACTGCTGCCTTTTTGGGGCCCAACATTACCACAGACTCCCCTTCCCTCTGACTGCTGCCCTATAAGAACCTGTCCCAGATAACTCCCCCCTTCACAGTACCACCACCCCCGCCACCAAAAAACAAAGACCCCTATCCCTCATCCTGGACTCTTCCCCACCTTCAAGGGCTCTATCCAACCATCTCTACTGACCCCTTCCCAACACCGCCTTTCCTGCCCTCATTGCACCCCCTTTCTGGGTCCCTATGTGTGTGCTCTCTCCTGCTGCACAACAGAGCTTGTTCTCATAATCCACCTGGCGAGCACTGTCCCCAGGGAGCCTGCTGGGGACTCATGTAGATTCCTACTCATGTAGATTCCGCCCCGCCCCCCCCAAGGATATGGCTGTACTAGAAAGAGCTGTCTGACCAGGTGAGCTGTGGGTAGGTCTATAAAAGTGAGTTGACCTCTAGTCCCATTGCAGGGACAGCCTTAGGGACATACCCAGGTCAGGACTCTCCATTTTAGTGAAGACAGCTGGCAATTTTCAGGGAACCACAAAAGTGATCCAAGGACTAGAAAATAAAAGTCCTTTTCAGGGAAGGATTTCAAGAGCTCAATGGGTTTCAGTTGAGAAGGTAGGGAGCTGACTGAGCTCCAGCACAAAAGGATGTTCACTGGGGAAAAATACTAGGAGGAAAAGCACTCCTTCATCCAGAGGAGAAAGACTGAACAGGAAACCAGGACAATTCGCCTGAGAATCCAGGCCCTTTCTATCAACAGTAAGGAGGAGTAATTGGAGCACATTGTTAAAGAAACTGGATTTTCCATCTCTTCCAGAAAGGCAGCCAGCCTGGTACTGAAGCCACTGAGAAAGCGGACTCCATCATTTCCCTCCATAATAGGTTGCAGTCTCCATTCTCACGCTCAATACTAGAGTAACTGAGTAAAATTTAGGCCTTAATTTATACCACAGAACAGGTACATTGACTAGGAGTGTGGAAGGCCCACAGCGCCGCACAGCTATAGGTGTACTAGCTAGCTGTCCTACCCCTGATTGCATGGACACAGCTACAGAAGGCCTCCACTAACCTAGCTTCTGTCATTCAGGGTGGTATGGTAGCAACAACAGTGGAGAAAAACCTTCAGCCACAACATGGCACATCTCCGCTAGGATGACCTGCTGCTATGGCTCTGCCAGCACCACCATGGTGAGGATAGCCCCATTATGTAGATAAGCCCTGCTTTTGTGAGAGAAAATGGGTCAGGGTACATGACAGTCCCTTCCAGCCTTAGACTCTAGGCCAGGGGTGGGCAAAATGTGGCAGGGCCAGATGCGGCCCGCCAGACCATACTATCCAGCTCGTGGGGCCCCTAAAAATTTTAGAAAATTAATATTTATCTGCCCCTGGCTGCCTGTCATGTGGCCCTCGATGGCTTGCCAAACTCAGTAAGCAGCCCTCCACCCAAAATAATTGCCTGCCCCTGCTCTAGGCCCTGATAGCCAGGGCTGCTATAGCAGTGTTCTACCAGTACACTGTACCAGCAAAGCATTCTGAGTGTGAGCATGGCGTATGGGACACCATGCTCCAGCCCCAACAAGCAGATTAAGTTTTACTGGTATTTCTGCCACTGTACTATGTCTACTCAAGGCCGTTTTACCAGAACAGCTATGCTGGTTGAGGGTCACACCTCATCACCTCTTCATAAGAACATAAGAAGTGACATTTACGCTGTCAGACCATAGATCCTTCTTGCTCAGTATCCTGTCATACAGTGGCAGAGAGTGGTTGCTGAAAGGGAGAGTGAACTGGCTATGACCCAGGGTTTTCCTACCATCCCTGTCTCACTTGCAGCCTCCAGCATTTAAGTTCTAGGAAGTCCTGATTCAGAGGTTATATCCCTAACTCCCATGCTCAATAGCTGCTGATACCCCTTTCCTCCAATAATTTGTCCAGTCCCTTTTTGAATCTGGCTTAACTGACAGCTTCCACAACCTCTAATGGCAATGAGTTCTACACTTTAATTACACACTGGGCATGTCTACACATGCATTTACTGAGCAGTAATTTACTGTGCAGTAAGTGGTTTTTATGCCAGTGTCTATATGTGCAGGCATTACTGCACAGTAATGCTGTGTGTGGACTGACTTGGAACTAAAATCAGTCCTAAGTAAGTCCATACAAACAGGGTTACTGTGCAGTAAGGTGTCTACTCATGCCTTACTGTGCATTAACTACTCAGGCATAAATTTGCTACCTGAATCATGCAGGTAGCAAATTTATGCCCAAGTCGGCATAAGTCGCCATAGTTACTGCACAGTATAGGCATGCACATGTAGACATGCACCCGTACTGCAGAGTAATTTTGGGGTACTGCGCAGTGACTGTGTACATGTAGACATGCCCACTGTGTGTGGGGGGGGGGGGGGGAGGGAGACTTCTTTTTGTTAGTTTTAAACTTATTACCTACTCGTTTCATTTTGTGACCCCTACTTGTATTGTGAGAGAGAGACTGACACGGTTATTTTTGTGGCATAGATCTGACTATGGATCTTGTCCTCCAAAGGAAAAGGACTAAGTTATGGAGATATAAGTGTATGGACACACAAGCAACTTACTGGACATGTCTGCATGAGACGCTTAATGAGCAGAAGACTAATTCTACTGTGCATTAGCATGGCGGGCAAAAACTGTGCTAATGAATAGTAGATTTAGTCTAATGAGCCTTAACATCACTAAAAAACCATTCATCTACGCTAATGCATAGTAGCGCCAAATACAGCACATCAAGTTAGTATCTGTCATTACAGGTACTAAACTTAATGAGCCATAATTACGGCACATTCATGAAAGTGTAGACATGCCCACTGGGCGTGTGTATCTACACAAGATGCTGACTGCGCAGTAACCAAATAATACTGCACAGTCGTGCATCACAGCACTAACAATGCTAATACGCTACTGTGCGGTATTATTAGCCTACTGCACAGTAGCATCACTTAAAAGACATTTGCCAGTGCTCCTGCACAGTAACTCCAATTACTGTGCATTTATTTAGTACTTATATAGACAAGTACTTGTTTATACAAGTAGTATATAGATGCACAGTAACAACTGCACAGTAGTGTCTCAGGTAGACACACCCACTGTGAGCTAAAGGGTGGTCAGGGTTTTGCTTCCCATCAGTTACTCCATGATAACTGCCCATGTGGACATGCTTAACCCATAGTAAATAGAAGCTAAACCACAGACTCCTAAGCCTTTGCAAAAAGTTACTATAGGTTTGCTTCTACTTACCATGAGATAGTCATGCATGGGGGCAGTTACCACCAAGCAGCTGATGTGCAGTAAAGTCTCATTCTGTCTTTGCCCTGCGGTAAGTTGATTTCACGAGCATCATTTATGGAAGTTTATACCACTATAACTGCTACCCCAACTAGGGGTTGTATTGGTATATCGGTATAGAAGCACATCCCTTACTGACATATTGACAGTAGTTCAAAAACCGTACAGACTCAAAATTAGAGCTCTTAGGAAAAAAGGGGGAACAATAACTTGAAACATTTAGGGCTTTCCATTTTGCAGGGCTCAATATGAGACCATTCCAGGGAAGAAACACCTTTTTTCATTAACCGATTTTTCGAAAACATTTCAGGGGGTTTTCCCCCACCTTTTCTGTTCATCCACCTTTTTATCCCAAAAGGGATGCAGTGTGAGCAAATCAATAAAGTTCAAGGATTGTTTGTCTGCTGTAATGTTTTCAGAACTTGTTTTCAGAAACGTTCTGTGACTTGATCAAAGTCACAGAACATTTCAAAGTTGAAAAAGGAAAAAGAACATAAGCTTGTTTCTTTAGTCAATGGGTTAAAAAAGAAAAACAGCTGGAAAAGAGTAGAAAACAAGTGCAAATTGTCCATGTGTTTCTTTCTTTTCCAAAACAAAAATGAGATAGATGATTTTCATTTTCATGGTTGAAATTCCCCGTTGAAAAAAATAATTATTGACTCTACCCCTTTTTTTAGTGGGAAAATATTTTGGCCATAAAGTTTGAATCGGCTTTGAAATTGTTCTGTTAATTCTGACAGTGCAATGCCAGTTTACACCAGCTGAGAACTTTGCCCCAGTTGACTTCAATGGAGTGATTCTGATTTATGCTACCTCAGGATCTGGCCCTTCTCTTTTTGTATGAGTATAGAGATCATTGCACCCCACACACCCAAAGTAGCCACCTTAAACCAGGCAGGAGCAGCTCTTCAAAGTGCTCAACACTTGAGAGCACACCAAGTGAGTCCCACAGCATATTAAACCAGACACAGTGAGCATGTCAACATGTGTATTTACATGCGCCTAAACTTAATGGACCTCTGCTTAAGATGATTTAGGTGCACGTCTACACGTGGATATGCTAATGCGCATTAAGGCACATTAAATTTAGACACGAATAGCTAAATTGCATTAGCACATGTGCAGATGCACTACTGTGCACTAACGCAGTGTCTATCCATTGACACAGACCACATTACTGTGCATTAATATGTCTACATATTCACTAACGTAACTTAGCTATTTGTGCATAAATTTGATACCTGCTTTACACAGGTATCAAATTTAGGCTTGATTAACGTAAAATCGCCATTTTTAAGGAGCATTAAGGGTGCACACATGTAGACACTCACCGTTAATGTGTCTTAAACTGGGCTAATGCACATTAAATGCAGGCATGTAGATACGCCCTGTGGGAGGCTGTTAACCCTGGGGGAATACAATAAGTCAATCAAAGTTGAGTGCTATGAGCTCATTAATGCACCCAGATAGATTGCAGCCTTACTCGTATCCCCCTAGCCATTGCCTATACTACAGTGAGGTCCCTCTTCCAGCCACAGCGCAAGGTCATAAAAACATAAGAATTGCCATTTAGTGGATCAGACCATAGGTCCATTTAGCTCAGCATACTTAGCCTTCTTAGCTAAGCTCAAGTGTAGTGATACATAGTAATATCCTCTCTTCTTTGTAAGCATTGTGCCTTTAGCTCCCCATCCCCCGCAACCCAGCTGCATTCTTACTATATAACTTAATTACATCCTCCCCCCACCCACCCTGTACTATGTAGTCACCTTCCTCTAGATCGCTGTATTTCCTACTACCCCTTCAACTTTGCAACTCCCTTTTTAACATTCACTAATAAAGTTAAACCTGTGTCACACAGTGGCAGAGTGGATACTGAATGGGAGACTGAACTGGGTATGTCCCTATTTTTATTCACTGTTCTTTCACTTGCAGCCTCCAGCATTTAAGGTCTAGGAAATTCTAATTCAGAGGCTGTATCCCAAACACCCATGCTGAGTAGCTTCTGGTGCCCCTTTCCTTCAAGAATTTGTCCAATCCCTTTTTGACTCTGGCTAAACTCAGCTTCCACCACATCTGGTGGTAATGAGTTCCACACTTCAGTTATATGCTGTGTGGAAAAAAAACTGCCTTTTGTTAGTTTTAATTTACTACCTACTAGTTTCGTTTTGTGACACCTAGGCCACATCTACACAGGACAGTGACTGCACATTCGTTACTGCACAGTCATTTAATACTTGCATATACAAGTACTAAATGACTGCACAGTAACTGGTGTTACTGTGCAGTAGCATCCCCAAATGGCTTTTTGGTGATGCTGATTGTGCAGTAGCTCATTACTACTGCACAGTAGTGTCACATCACATGATGCTACTGCGCAGTCAGTCAGTGTCTCATGTAGATGTGGCTCTAGTTCTTGAGAGAATAAATAATAAATCCCTATTTACTTTCTCTTCGCTGTTGAGTATTTTGTAAACCCTTATCGCACAAGCATCTCTTTTCTAAACTGAATGCTTCTTTAGTCTCTCCTCAATATGAAAGCCACTCCATTCCACTAATCATCCTTGTTGCCCTTCTCTGTAGCTTTTCTAGTTCTGCTATATCCTTTTTCAGGTGTTGGGACCAGAACTGGGCACAGTATTCAAGGTGTGGATGCACCATGGATTTATAAGGGGGCATGATGGTTCAAAACTTTCAGTTTTGCTTACAGTTCCCTCCTTGGAGGGAACTGCAGGCCTTCTTGGAAAGGTCACAGCCCAAGGTGTGAGCTATAGTGTCCAATTGTCCCCTTCAAACTCACCTCTGTTGTAATAATTGCAAAGCCCTATCTCAGCAGAGTACATGGTGAACAACCGCTGCTCAGTCCATGGATCACAGCCATTCTCCAGCTGCTTTGGGCCACACCTATTAGAGCTGGGCTTACTCAGACTCCTTGGGGCAGGGGTGGTGTCTTTGCTAGGTGTGTCCCAGGCTCAGCACAACAGGGCTGGAGACTAGGCTGGGGTGGCCAGCTTGCAGGATGCATGCCACGAGTGGTATGGGAAGCCTCTTTGTGTGGCATGCAGCAGATTGGGAAGGCGGCAGGCAACACAGTGGCAGATAGGGCAGGGAGCAGAAAGCAGAACAGCAGACCAGACAGGGAGCACAGGGCAGAAAACCAAAAGCAGAACAGCAGATCAGGCCAGGGAAGGGAATCAGAGTGGCACATGGGGAGGATGCAGGGCTTAATTTGTAGCATGCCTGCCAAAAAGGTTGGTCCCCACTGATCGAGGTGCTGTGCAAATAAATAACAACATTAATAATGAATAACCAACCTCAGTGCAGCACACACAGCAAGCACCTTGGCAACCTTCCCGTCCCCACCTATACCAGGACAAGGGGGGACTTATGCTGCTGTAATAACTAGATGGTCCAGTCAGCGGTTAAGACATTAGCTTAGGACTACAGTAGAGGTGGGCTCATGTGCCAGCTCTGCCACAGACTTCTTGTAGGACCTTGGCCATGTCACTTAGGACAAGGACCTAAGTGCTGCCTGGCTGCTCTTTCAGTTGTATGAGCTAAAAATGTAGCTCTTCCCCCACCCTCAACACCTCCCCTATCCATTTAAGTGTGGATGCACTGGAATCCTTCAGTCCTTACAATATGAGCAGTTCAGCCCCTGGCTGAGGCCTGTGCCCTGTCCAGCTTCACACATGTGGGGTCAGCCCACCACTCTCACTTCAGGATCCAACCTGCCTGGGCCCCACCCAAATCACAGACAGAAAATGATATGTCCCATCCTTTTTCCTGCCCCCAGCCCCCTTCACCACTCTGTGCCTCACATTCCCCACCTGGCAGGGCGTTGCCCTGCCTTATGAGGGGTGGTGTGGGGAACAGTACATAGAGGATAGCCAGTGCTCAGATACATGACTGCCTCAGACAGAGAAATGAGCTTCACTGGGTTAATGGATTCCATCTCCCATGGGACAGTCTGTCTGTCTGTCTATTCGGCATGCTGACTCCCCAACCCTCTTTCCTTCCTCCTCCTCATAGGCCTATGTGCCCACAGTGTTTGAGAAGTATACTGCTTCCTTCCAGATTGGCAGCAAGACAGTACAAATCCACCTTTGGGACACAGCAGGTAAGTATTAGGAGAGGATAGAGGATGCTATCTATGCACACAGTATGAACAGAAGAGGGAGCTAGCGTCATACATTGGGGATTAACCATTCTCTGGGTTTATTAGGGCTTGATGTACTTGTGTGGGGAAATGTGTGCACGTGGGCATGAGTGTTCACACCTGTGGGCATATACATTTGCATGTATATGTATGTGTTTACACATCACAGGAGTTGCTCCCTGGTTTGTCATGTATTTAGAATGAGTTGGATGAATGTGTACAGTACAGAAGGTTTGCAGAGGGTTTGGCACATAGCTTGCTGTGTGAATCATTCCTGAGTACAAGGCTGTACACAGTTTCTGTGTGTGTAAGGGTTACAGCAAGGCTGGTTCCCTAAATCATCATGTAAAATGTATTAGCTTGCAAATCTGGGGTTGGGAAACAGATGGTTGCACACGGGTCAATTCTGCCACAAGGGTCTCTGAGAGGAAGCAACACTGTTTTTTAAAGAACAGCGCATTACAAAAATACACTTTAAAAAATATGTATTTTTAGACTTCATTTTCTTAAAACACTTTCCGGAAAACGGAAGCTCCTTGTTTCTATAGGCCCTAAGGTCAGAGTCCTTTAAGGTGACACATCTCTGGCATTTCAGCCTCGTGCATTCCAGCAGCCTGAGCCAGGCCTCAGAAGATCATGAGATCAGCATAAAAAATCTTGAGACTTTTCAGAATAATTAGATGAGGGCTCTTTTTTCTTCCTTTTTCCTAAGTGTTCTGAGCCTTTCTGTTACAAGTAGGTATGATTTTTAGATATTCTTTCTATAGCAGTGACAGTGAAGAGCCCCCCCCACACACACACACACACATGCACGCGCACACAGTCCTGTTTTTTATTTTTCCTTTTAATGAAAAATTAGATTAATCCACAGTCGCATGGGATTTAGAAAAATTGGAGTGCTCCTGAGACTCAGAGTAAAATTATGAGAATAATCAGAACTGCATCCTGGGAACAGGGGGCTTGTTCTTATAATGCAAATGGATGGGAGAAAGATTCAAGGCATGGGGAAGCAAGCCAATTGTAGTTTCTGAAGGTTATGCATGGTTAGTCCTTTATCTGGCTATATGGCCCCATCCCTCAGTGCCTTTAGGAGCCAGTCCCCTCTCATAGCCAAGGCAAGGTCAGGGGTGGAACCATGCCCATTAAGAGGAGGGGTGTAATGGCCGCCTCTTCTTTGTGGCAGGACAGGAAGATTACGACCGGCTGCGCCCACTCTCCTACACAGAAGCCAACATTGTTCTCATGTGCTATGATGTCACCAGTCCCAGCAGCTATGACAATATTCTCACAAAGGTAAGAAAACTAATTAGGGACAGAGGCCAGATGGGAGAACCAGGACTGGAGCACAGCCCTACAGCTAGCATTCCTGTCCTGCTCCAGGTAGTATCTTTTGCCCTATCCTGCTGGTCTCTGTTGTGCTTTTTTGAGCTAAGGCCTCTTACTGCTGCTCAGCAGGCATGAGCACCAGGCTCACTGCCTCCCCCAGAGATCTCTGAACTCTTTTTCTTCCAGTCCCTTAGGAATATGTAGGGACCTTCTGTCCCGTGACTCAGGTCCCACCTCTCTCTCTCTCTCTTTCTCTCTCTGCCCTATACAGTGGTACCCAGAAGTGAATCACTTCTGCAAGGGAGTCCCCATTGTGCTGGTGGGCTGCAAAACCGACCTGAGGAAGGACAAGGCTGTGCTGAGGAAACTACATGAGGACCAGTTGGCACCCATCACCTACCAAAAGGTGAGGCACCCTCCCAGTCCAGCCTGCCCCAGACATGCCCTCCCAATACCAGGATGTTGTGCAAAGCTGGTATCCTTCCACCCTGGGGGGGAGGGAGGAAAAATAGTTCCTTCCAGTAATAACAGACCAGGGTTCAACCAAGCTCCAAGGCTTCCCATTATGGTTTCTCCCAAGCCAGGACTACAGGGAAGGCAATGGTACCTTGCAGGCCTGGTCACTTCTGAGGGCTGAACTCATGCCAGGCTCTTCCTGAGGCAGCAGAAACTTCCAGGAAGCTCATGGTCCAGCAGACGGGTAGGGGAGGACAAATCTGGTGGTCATGGCTTTCCCACCTCAGCAGAGGCCCTGCTCCTATCCCCATCCCTTGTACCTTCTGTGGGCCTCATGCTACTTTCCTCTGCTCCATCTCTCACTGGCAGGGAGAGTCCATGGCCAAAACAGTTCGTGCCATCGCCTACTTCGAGTGCTCGGCCAAGTTCCAGGAGAACATCACCAACATCTTCGTAGAGGCCTCCAGTGCTGCCCTGAGTGCCATGAGGAAGAGTCAGCGGAAGCGGAGACCCAAGAGGGGCTGCCTAATCTCCTAGCCATCCATGTGAACCTCATAGGACTTCCCCATGTGCTGGCCACCCACCACAGGGACTGTACCGTGCCCTGCAGACTGCACCCATCCCAGATCTGCCCTGCCTGTGAGCATCTCTGTGGGCTTCAGTTCCCACAGGACAGGGCACAAGGTGGCAGATCATCTGCTCCCCTGGTGTCTCAGGGGGCACATAATGCCACGGGGCAGGGCAGTCACCCTCCCTACCATCTGACACAGGAAGGAACTCTTCTGCCCCAGGGTTTTGCTGCCTCAGCTTGGAAGAACCATTCAGCAACTGTCTGGCAACAAAAAGACCTACGAAACCCTTAGCACAGTGGCTGGTCCCACCACTGACCCCATTATCTCAGAGCTTCTTCCACCAAAACAGCAGGGCTCTGTGCCCACTGACAAGACACAGCTCAGCTCAGCTTGGCTCTGCTCCTACCCATTTTGGCCCAGCTCAGTGTGGCTTCAAAAACTCTCCTTTTCTAGCCCCACTTCTGCCCACTTGACCTGATTCAGTACAGCTCCAATCACTGTGGCCTCCCAGAGCGTTCTTCAGCTCTGATCACCCGTCTTGTGTCATCCCATGATTGTCTGTCACACTCTGGCCTCCGGAGTTTCACCTCCCAAAGACCTGTAGCTGGTTATGGTATCCCTTTTCCATCACTACTTGCCCCATTGCTACTTAGTTACATGGGGGTACAGCTTCACTGCAGAAAAAAAGAGGGTGGTCATAATTTGAGTTAAAATAGCAGTGCAGACAGGGTATCCTGGGTTAACCTGAGTTAAAATCTAAATCACTTTATCTGCACTGCTGTCTTAACCTGGGTTAGCCAACCTGAGTGAAGCACACTGCTTTTTTCTCAGTGCAAATGTACCCTTCAGTCAAGTAATTCTACCCCTTCCTCCTGAATCAGGGGGCTGCACAGTCCTAGGACCCTTCTCTGAGCCATTCCAGGTCTGCTGAGCTCTCACCAGAGACAGTGCCCAGAACTCAGAATATTGAACAAGATCTCCTAAATAGTGTAAACCAGCACAGGTCCACCAGCAGGTTGACACCAGCTTGGGATCTGGCCCCATTCACTCTAATGAAGGCATGCCTAGTTTGCATCAGACAAGGTCTGTCCCATTGACTCAGGTGGAGAGAAGCTATATACGTAGGCCAGGGGCTTGGCCCAGTGATTCCAATGAAGCAATGCTCATATAGCCCAGCTAGGCATCTGGCCTCATGTGCTAATGTGGTGAATCCAAAGAAGTGGGGGAGTGGCCTATCACCAACCTGTTCTGCTGTGCCTATGGGATCCAAGCATTCTCAGCCATTCCATGCTGCGAATTATGTCTACCTTCTCCCTGCCTCATCCCTATCTGCCAGACATGAGGGGTATACCTCATGTCCCTTTTGACCTAAGCACACCTGACCTGGGGCTTAGTTTTTCTATTTTCCCAGCGTCCTCCAGGCACTGGTGTTTTATCAATATCCTAGAGCATCTTCCTTGAACCATCGCTAGCAAGACAGCACACAGGATGGCTCCTGGGTGAGGCTGGACTATGTGGGACCTCCCTGGGCTTTGCCAACTTGCTGGGCTGGGATCAGATGAGCTCTGGACATGACTTGGCTACTGCCAGCAGAGAGGATGTCACATGCCCAGACATGTCCATCCATTCACTACAGCTCTAGCCACCAAGGGAGCAACCCTGACCTGCAAGACTGCAACAAGAAGTACATCTAGCCTTGAATAAGCCAGTGCCCTATGCTGTAGGACATGCAGATGTGGGTAATTTCACCCACCAGAGATGCACTGCCAGAGAACCCTCAGAGTCCAAGTTGTGCCAGTTTACCTGTGGGTTTGTGTCTACATGGTTTCAGGCAGAAGACAGGGTAGATTTGCACTTTATAGACTAACTAAATTAGAGATGCATAACACAAGCTTTCATAAGCATCAGGCTTACTTCATGGGATGCTATGAAGGGACTGCAGGAAGCAGAGCTCTGAAACAGAAAGCAGTGATTGCAGTACATACAATAGGAAAGGTGGGAGGAGAAAGGAGGAGACACTGCTGAGAAAGTCATGATGAGAGAATCATTCATGGGTACATCATGGGGACCTAAAGATATGGCAGGCCCCATCTCTCAGGTCTACCAGTATTATACTTGCTTTTGTGCCCACAACCCAGGAAAAATCCATCATGAAGTTGGGCCCTGCAAGCCACTACAACAACAGAAAAATAAATATTGGTTCTATATAACTCCACTGCCAGCTGAGGGGCAAACCTATGTGTGTGTTTGTGCGTGTGCATGCATGCACATAAGTGCTTCTCCACAGCATATAGTCCCGTGCCTGGTCCAGTGGCTGTTAGGTGCCACTCTCAGGGATCAACCTGAGTAATATGGGGGTTTTACGCAAGCCTCCAACCCTAGCCCAGAATCTCTACCCCAAGGACATGTTCTTGAAGGGCAAGTCTGCCCAGTACCAAGAGATCTACATTGCTGGGAAGCTGGTATTGCTGGTATGTCTCCTCATTTTCCCCACTCAGGTTAAAAGCAAATAGGAGTTATGCTGCTTTACACTGCAGAGACCTGCCCCATCGGGGCAGTTAATATATGGGTTAGACACAGTGTCTTGTCAACCTCACCTTTGGCACCCCACATGGGGAGTCTTGCTAAACAAGCCTCATATACCTGCAGGGGGTCACAGTGTCATAGAGAAGTAGGGCTGAAAAGGGCCTCCAGAGGTCATGTAGTTCAACCCCATGCCTGAGACAGGATCATCTCTATGCAAACCATTCCATACAACCATAATCTAAACTTCACATAAAACTGCCATCAACCCAGACACAACACAAACCCAGCCAATGTCCTGCTTCAATAAAATGTCAATATACACTAAGGAGGTCCTAGGTAGAGGGCCAACCCTTCCCCTCCCTGCTACAAAGGAAAGCAAAAAAGCTCACAGTCTATGGCCTTAGAGAGCATAGCAGCCATAAGGCCTACTGTTGCCATCCAGCCAGGTTTCACCCATTTTATATTTCTATTTTTGATTATTCCTCCTGAGGTGTAGCACTTCACATTTTTCCACATTGAAATTGATCCTGTTAGCTCTAGCCAAACTTTCCAATCTGTCAAGATCTTTCTGAATTTTGTTCACATCCTCCAACATGTTTGCCATCCTTCCGCTTTGCATCAGCTGCAAACTTGCTCAAGAAGCCTTCTATTCCACCATCCAAATCACCAATAAACACATGGAATCCCACCGTCACTACCCTTGGCACCCCATAGACTGCATCCCATGGAAAAAAATTGCTGGAGAGCTTAGCCCCATATCTACTCATCCTTTAAGGCTAGGGAGTCATTTTGTGCTCCCATTGGCCCATCCAGGCTTATTCACCAGCCCAAAAAAGAAGGATCTTACACCCTGTGCACCAAAAAGTGGTTTGGTATTCTGAGCAATGAGACTTCCCACTGCATCATGCTTCTCCTCCTTCTCCCAAATCAGCAGCACCAAAGCTTGGGGGCCAGGAAAAGTTGCTGCTATATTGTACATAGTTTGTCCATCCCCTTAACTGGTGAATGCACCAGGTTTCTGGAGCCCAAGCACTGCAAAGGCACAGAACATGCCCTTTGGTTGGGCTTGTACAGGGTTCCCCTGAAGCTGGGGGGCAGCAGGTCCTTCCCAATGTCTCCCACATGTGGTACTAGCTAGAACATGTCCTGGCACAGAACCCAGCTTGTATTTGGTATCTAAACCATCATACTGGCAAAGGTCAGAATCATAGCATCATAGAAAATTAGGGTTGGAAGGGACTTCAGGAGGTCATCTAGTCCAACCCCCTGCTCAAAACAGGACCATCCCCAACTATAGCATCCCAGCCAAGGCTTTGTCTACCCAGGTCTTAAAAATTTCCAAGGCTGGAAATTCCACAGCTTCCCTGGGTAACCATTTCCTGTGCTTTACAACCCTCCTCATGAGAAAGTGCTTCTTAATATCAAACTTCCTTTGCTGCAACTTGAGACCATTGCTCCTTGTTCTGTCATCTGCCACCACTGAAAACAGTCCAGCTCCATCCTCTTTGGAACCACCCTTCAGACAGCTGAAGGCTGTTATTAAATCCCCCTCCCACACCTCCACCCTTGTCTTCTCTTCTCCAGACTAAATAAGTCCAGTTCTCTCAGCCTCTCCTCAGAAGTCATGTGCCCCAGACCCCTAACCATTTTGTTTCCCTCCACTGGACCTTCTCCAATTTGTCCACACCCATTCTGTAGTGGGGGCCCAAAACAGGGCACAGTACTCCAGATGTGGCCTCACCAGTGCCGAATAGAAGGAAAGAATCACTTCCCTTGCTTTGCTGGCAATGTTCCTACTAATGCAGCCCAGCGTGCTATTAGCCTTCTTCTCAACAAGGGCACGCTATTGGCTCATATCCATCTTATTGTTCACTGTAACCCGCAAGTCCTTCTCTGCAGAGTCCTTCAGGGTCCTTCAGGCTCCATGATGCCTTGGAGTGGGACATGATGCTGTAAGACCAAGAGCATGTGTTGCCCCTCACTGCTCTTGCTCACACACCAGCAAAACACTTGCAGGAACAGTTACTGCCCCAGTGGGACAGTGGGACAGTAAAATCAGCTCCATGGGATGTTAGAGGAGGTAGGGCAGCTGTAAACAAGAGAACTGGAAACTAACTCTCTATGGTTGTTCTCAAAAGCAGAAACACTACAGGTACAACCAGTCCCAAAGTACTCTTCTACTCAAAACCAGCAAAGGGCCTCCCATCACTATCTGTTGTAAGCCAGCTCCTGTCACCTAGGATGGAGACAGCTGGTGAATAGGGCTCCCAGGAATACCCCAGGATGCAGGGCCTCCATAGATGACAACCAGCCAGCAAGAGGGCTTTCTATTGACTCCTGTCTTGGCCTCCCACATAGGCAATGCTAGAGGCACCATAAGGATGTGCCTCACCAGCCATCTCTTCTCAGGTTCCCTGATGCAAATTCCCTTTTCTGTGCGCAAAGGGCCTGAGACTTCTTTCAGCACTGACGCCAAGCCAATCTGCCTGCCCATCCATATCTGCATGGAGTCGTGCCTACACGCCCAGCCCTGTGTTCACAACCTACCATCCCAGAATCCCACTGGATTTCTTCCCATTGCAGCAATAGCCATGGTGAGGGTTCTGCAGTGAGAGGCTGGTTCATGGCTGTGCCACAAAAACATGAAGGTGGCCCTAGGCTAGCTCCCTCTCCCATCACTGTGATGGTTTGGCAGGGAGAAACAGGAGGAAACCCAGGAACCCCCACTGTGAACAGCTGACTCCAGAACAATATGGAGCAGGGCTGCAGAACATTCAAATGTACTTCAAAAGAAGAAATAACCAGATGCCACAGAACACTTTTCTATATTAAGGTATTCATATGCATTTATTCACACTCAGATTAAAAAGCAGATTTTGGGGACCTGTGATATACAGAAAGACCAACAAGAGGGTTTACTGGTCCCTTCTGGGCTTAAATGCTAGGAGTCTGCTAACTGAACTAAACACAATCCTCCAGATTGGAACAGCTGGACCCTCTGAAGTCCATTGTTGGATCCACTAGGAATGTAGAGGAAGTCATCTTCATTTTCTGACCCTTCTATGCGCAAGTGTTCCTGCTATTGCTACAGCCAGCAGAGTTTCTAAGTTTTCTTCTTCTCAGAGACAGGGGCCAATCCTGAGCAGAAGTCTCTGATGGTGCAGATCCTGTCATCCCTCGGTAATATATGTAACCCTATTTCTTGTCTTGTAGGATTGTCTTGGCTGAACTTTTGTCCCTTTCCTGATTGTCCATTAAATGAAGGTACTCGGGGTGTTGAGAGAGGCTGGGGGGCCACTCTCCCCCTGATTGTTCCTTTCTGTTCTTTACACTAGGTTAATCCTTAGGGATATGCAATCAAGAGATGCAATTACAACATATGGTGGCATATCTAAGCTTACTCAAGTACCAGTGCCACTGCAGACATGGTGGAACAGACTATCTGTGTGTGTATAAATCCAGGGTCTCCAGCAGCCTACACTGAAGTTCTTCCCACTGCTATTGTTCCCCTGTTAGCAATAATAAAACTAGCTCAAGTACATCTACCCTTGCTGTAATCATGAGGCAAGATAGATGTTACTGGTAATCTCTATTCACAGTGAGACACTGCTGTGGTTCCCCATAAATGTATCTTTCCCAATGCCCATAGCTGTATCAGCAAAGTCTCTGTAGGACTGACAAGTCCCAAAACTGAGGACATTCTCAGCTGAAACTTCATATAGGTTGATCTGGACCCTGTAAAGACACCTCCTCTAAATGCAAATTCAAACTGCATTCAAATGTAGGAGAAACCAAACAACAACTGTGTACCAGAATGAATGCACACCGAAAAATCTATCAAAGACAAAAATACCCGACTACCTGTAGGTACATACTTCTCACAAGATAACCACTCCCTCTCCAATCTCTCAGTTCTAATCCTCAAAGGCAATTTACAAAACACCTTTCATAGATGAGCCTATGAACTTCACTTCATAAATCTACAGGATACAAAAAATCATGGACGAAATGTAGACATTGGACTTATGGAATATTATAACCTGCCTGCATTTTACCAGCTACATTCTATCACCAATTCAAATTACCTACCTGTCTTACACCTATTATCTCACAAAGCCTCTGATCCTCAATGCTACCCATTTGCATTTTCTGAGACCTGCATTTTGCATACTGGCTTCCATTCCACCCAGGGGAGCACACAAAGCAACAACATACTCTTCCTGTCCCTGAAGAAGGGTGTTTGTACCCAAAAGCTTGCAAAGAACATTTTTTTTCCAAATATTTAGTTGGTCTAATAAAAGATATCACATTTACCCAAGGAACCTTGTTTGCATTAGAATGAGACAGTTATAATAGAAACAAAATGCAAACATCAAAAGCCAGGACATATCAAGGTACGGTTCTACAGTAATATTAATGCTGAGGGCTGGCTCTTCAATGGTTTGAATTAATGATTACCCTTACTGATATCAGCTGAGGATCTGGCCTAAGACTATTAATTATCCAACATGGCTGTGGCCCAAATCTCACATCCTACACCCCTTGCTCTGTGCTGCATTTCCCATATGGGCTACAGATTCTCATTTCTTATTCTCTAAAACTATCACCAGCACAAGATTTCCCCAGACCCCCTGCTCTAGTCACACCTGCAGAATGCCTTGCTCTGCCTTGTTCCACCATGTATGTTC